TGTAGATTTTTTTTCCTCCATAAGAGAACATAAAAAGCATAAGCATAATTTGGATTGAGAGTTAAGCCTGCATGGAACCAAACGAACAAAGACAATTGGCGTTCAAGTTGGATTTAGAGGCTATTTCATGTGATTTCCCTCCCACGGCTTTCCTCTTGCTTCTCTGCTTCCATAGTTCCATGGCGGCATTTCACACACACACACACGGACTCAACTGGAAGCAACAGTCTCTCTTCAAGAAGCTCATGTTCTTGGCTGAGACTCCACATGAGCTTGGCAGGCGACCATTGAATGGCTGTAAGACTCCTCAAGCAGTCACGAACACCAGTTCACTTGCTTTGCTGCTGCAATCACATCTCTCTCTCTCTCTCACTAACATTCATGTTGAGGGCCGTATCAAGATTCCGGTTTCATGAAACGCCATTGTCCTCCGTCCTGCCCTCATTAACTTGGGAGGGAAACAGTAGCAGTTAATTGGTGCAGCGATGTGGAAGGGGATTGATTGAGATCATGTCTTACTTGTTTCTCGTACCGCCGTGCCATGGTGAAATCGATACAGCGGCAGTGCCGTTTCGGCGAGCCGTGCACATCATATTTAGTTGGGTTTGGTGCTCCGCCGTACTCGCGTCATTAAGTCGAACGCATTGCAGATGCTTGGCCCAGGAAACAATGGGATCGTATCACTCGAGGCATTTGCGTCAAGAGCATGACAGCTTCGTCCCCACATTTCAACTATTTTTCTTCTTACAAGAAAAATAAGAAGGAGAACAAAATTTACTTAGTTAACAAAAGGCACTTGAATCTAGAGAACTTTTTGTTGAAGCAAAAAAAGAAACAGAAAATTAAGGATTGATAACTTTATAAATGCTTTTATGTATTTTAGGGTACTCATAGGGTTTTCTTTAGCTAATCGTTCGAAGAAATTTAAATTTGAAAAACAAAATTTACTTGAAGCAAAAAAAAAAAAAATTAAAATTACATCATCTTGTGTGTAATATCTTATTTATATTTAATTTACTATTCTTTTGATTGTGTTTTTGGTAGTAGAAGAGTTTTTTTTTAAAAAAATGGTATCCGAACCAAGAAATATCCAAGAAAATGATTTTTAGATTTAAATACATTTAGATCCGGAGATAATTCCAATTACCACAACAACAGTCACTATAGAAAAATTATCCATGTTGGTCTACCGATCATCATTTACACCTTTCATCATTAATTATGTTCACTATGACTTAAACCCATAATTATTCTCAAGGGAGAGAAATAGGAGACCAAATGTTGGACCACTCTCAAGGGAGAGAAATGCCTCTATCACCCAACGCAATGGACAACTACCTATTGATCACAATAAATTCCAAAGATTCCATTGGTGGCTTAGTTAAAAGTCCATATCGATTAAAATTGACCAATCTTTAATCAAGTTTTGTCAAGAGTAGGTTCAGTAATAGATAGAAACACATCATATAAACTATAAATCATAAATACTGAAGCCAAATGACAACTTAAATCAATTAACGCAAGTAAGGTGCAATCTTGCTATCTCATGGTAGGCTTTACGAACCCCATGTGGTCATGACAGTCTTTCATGGGTCATGTGGGCTTTAAGAGAAGTAATTGGTTCTTGTACTTTGTACACATCATCAAGGATTGCTTTGTGATAGGCTGATTGCCCCTAGTAAAAAGAAGGTGCCTATAGGTGTTTTCCAAAATTAATCCATATATCAAAACTTAATGATTAAGGTGTTCAAACTAATGAAACACTTATAAGCAATTGAAGCACATACTTCCAATGAGAATCCAAATTATGTGAGAGTATCAATTAAACTTATAAAAAAGATAGATAGAAATTATTATACTTCACAAATGAATCTTCTTTATTTGCAAAAAATTCTAAGGTTACAACTGACAACGGTCAAACTTCCATTTGGGCTAAGAAAATGGCGGCAACGCTCACCTTATCACCCCCAACCCCCTCCTTCCCGCCTTTTCCCGAGTATCGCAAACCCTCGGAACCTAACTCACCTGCTAGTCTCCTCCATTTCCTCCTCGCGATAACCGGCTGGTTCCCCTGCAATGCCGCCCTCATGCTCGCCTCGAAGGCTACGTCTCTTCTTCCATTCGCCCGTGGAGGCAGAGCCGTCCATGCTCGCGTCCTCTAGGCCGGACTCGGGACCGACCGACTCGTGCTCACCAGGTGTTTGATACAGTGCTTGTTAAGGGCGTTTGATACAATGGTTATAGCTTGGGATCACCGCGGGGTTTCAGAGGACACCGAATGAGTTTATGCTCATTGGTGCCTTTTGGGGTTTGGGTGAATGGACATGTTTATCTCATTAGGCATCCGGAAGTGAGGCATATACAAATAGTGGAAGGTAGGATTGAAGCTGTTGATTTGGGATTTGTTTTGTTGAGCACAATTCTAGGAACTTGGAATCTTGGAACACTATGTTGGCTGGATTCATGATAAATGGATGCATAACTATTACTATACTCTCTCTTTTCGCATATGATGAAGTTTGCAGACAAGATCAGTTTAGTATAACGGAGAATGCAGGCCCGCGAGGAAGAGGAAGGTGTTGTATTATATGAGCATCAAGCAATGCTAAAGAACACTGACATCCAAACAGTGTTTATAATGGTAAGTAAATGTACAGCGTATTAATATGTTGAATCTCCGAAGAAGCTCAAAAGAATGATTGAAGACATGGGTTCAACCAATGTTCAGGTACAAGTATGATTGAAGGTATTGCAGCATGGGTTCTTAGCAGGAGATGTGTGACACTGGCAATCCAACCACTGTTTATAGTGAATGCAATATGTTTCGTCTCTGAAGAAGCTCAAAAGAGGGATGTTGATAAAGAACATTGACATGTGTATTACTGATATGGATATCAAGCAATTGTCTAGGAACAAGTGTGGTTGAAGATGTCGTAACATGAGTTCTTAGCAGAAAGTATATATGATACTCTGACAATTCAAACACTGTGTTTATAATGGTAAGTGCGCACTGTTCTTATATGCTTCATCTCTGAAGAAGCTCAAAAGAAGGGTATTGATAAAGAGAGATTGGCATGCAAAAATGACATGGGTATCAAGCAATTGTTGAGGAACAAGTATGTTTGAAGGTGGCATCAGAGCTGATTCTTTTCAGGACTTCAGAAATTTTCTTATTCGAATTATATATTGAACTAAATATATTATTCTTTTTGCATCATATATATTAAACTAAAGTTAGTAGGATACTGTGAACTAGATTTTGCAAATAAGATCATGTCAATTAACAGTGGTAACTTGTACATGGCGCTTGATAGAATGTGGAATCTGTATTTTTATATCGGCCACTATTTTATTTCAGGACTTATGATCTGTTTAGTGGCATGGGAACGTGTCATAGTCACCATTGCTGCTTGAGCCGTGCATTAAGTGGTGATATGAAATATATATCTTTCATTTTAAGACTAAATTTGTTAGTGATAAATTATAATTTATATTATAATCAATCCTATGGTATCGGACAAGTCTGCATCCTAATCGATGTTGGAATAAAAGGCGAGCCCATACCTCGTTGGCCCTCCTAAGTTTGCTATCCAACCGAGTTATCGTTCTTATAAGAGACTAAATATGATTATCCGCAAAGTAAATATATTTGTTAGTATTATTAATAAAAGAGTTAAGATCTAATGAGCTCGCGAATTATCCCTTTTATTTTTTTTTGTTTTGGGGAAAGAGACTGAGGACTGATACCTACAATGATTAGAGAGAGAAAATATTTTATTATATTTATTTTGGTGTTTACGTTTGTTTATTTATATTTGAGGGAGTGCATACGGCCAATTCATGAAGGCGTGGCGGGAAATCAGCCACTCCTGGTGCTGGCTGGTGGACCCGACCAGCGCAGCTCGCGTGACCTGTCCACACTCGTACGTGCGACGGTTACATCCGGCCCGCACGTTGAATTCATGGAGACCGGGGACGGAGATCCCATTCGCATTTACTTATATACCCTTCAATGATTGTCAATTCCCATTCCACTGCGTCTAAAGTCCCGTCTCACATGCAAGACGGTTCCTGCCGACACTCGGATTGCCTACCTGCGTATCAGTAGAGACGATGGGGCCCACAAGTGGCGCCCACAGGAATGCCGTTGAAAGGAGTGACACGTACGATTATAGAAAACCAATGACGATTCGTACGAACAAAATTTTCGATTCGGTGACTGTGCCAAATAATTAATTCACATTTAATGGATATATCTGGATGCGTATTTAGAGGTTTGTCTTTATTACAAAATCTAGAATTTCTTTTGTTTTTTTCATTGCATATTGAATTTCTATTCATGATATCCCATTTACGAGAGTTGAAAAAAAAAGTCACCCAGTCATGACTTGGATGACGACTTAAGACACAACTTGGGCGATCTGGTTTGCGTCGGGATCTAAGTCATTAAAAATGAAACATTTTTAAATGTTAAAAATCTAAATTGGTGGGAGGGATAGTGACGACATTTTCGAAAAACCTTCAACAGTGCTGATGTAAACTGGCCCATCTTGATCTTGTTCGGTTCCGATTGATAGAAATAATAGAAGATAAGAACAATAATTGAAGAAGCTTTATT